GACTGTCCTTCCTTTTGAGCTGCTGTTTCTTATTCCCCTTTTAAAAGTGAAAGTCAACCAGGAAATAACAAAACATACAATAAAACAAGCTGAAAGACTACTCAGTAAAAGGAAGCGATAAAATAGTAAAAACAGGCCAATGCAGTAAAAACACACAAACTCAACCAGACGGAATCACCATCCAGGGCCAGGCAATAAAAGCAAGAGCTGAAATGTACTGATCCACGTGGTAAGCATCTCCATGCACTGAAGCATCCAAGCCTCACTGCCACCCCAGGGGAGAGGGAGGATTATTATTTCCATTTTACGGAGGAGGAGAACGAGGCTTGGGGAGGTTAGGTACTGTGCTCAGGGTTACAGTGGGCAGGGCAGGGTAACAACCCCATTTTATAGATGAGGAAATGGAGGCCAACTTGTCAAGACTAAATAGCCAGTTAGGGGCAGAGTAAGATATTGAACTCAGGTTTTCCATCTCAGGATAAAGGTTCTCAAACCTGGCTTCACATTGGCGTCATTTCGGGAGCTTTTAAGAAATACTGGTGTCTGGCCAATCCTCCGAGATTATAATTGTCCATCTAGGGTGGGTCAGACAGGCGAACGTGGTGCAGTTAAACATATGCATGGCTGGGCTCTGCTCTTAGTAGTAATTGCTGCCATTTACTGAGCACTCAGCGGATTAACACAGTGACTGCAACAATGGGCTCCAACATAGCAACGATTATGAGGATGACGTAGGAAAGGGCAACGTTTTATTGTTAAACAAAAGGTCGCTCTGAGTCATAGCAAACTCAAAGGCATCTAACAGCAAAAACTGTGTGCTAAGCACTTTACAGATGTTTCCTTGTGCCCTCCTAATACCCTGTGATGGAGCCCTGGTGGCTCAAACGGATAAGTGCTTGTCTGCTAACAGAAAGGCTGGTGGTTCAAACCCACCCAGCTGACTCATGGGAGAAAGACCTAGAGATTTACTCCCGTAAAGATTAAACCTGTTGCTGTTGAATTGAATCCTACTTCTAGCGACCCTGTAGGACAGAGTAGAATTGCCCCACAGGGTTTCCAAGGCTGTAAATCTTTAACGAAGCCGACTGCCACATCTTTCTCCTATGGAACAGCTGGTGGGTTCGAACCACTGACCTTTCAGTTAGCAGCTGAGCCCTTAACCACTGTGCCACCAGGCCCCACCATAAAGATTACGGCATAGAAAAGCCTATGGGGCAGTTCTACTCTGTCCCATAGTGTTGCTATAAGTCAGATTTGACTCAACGGCACCCAACAACAACAATATACCCTATGAGGTGTTGAGGAATCTGAGAGGTTAAGTCACTTTCTCTCGGTCACACAGCTGGTAGTCACCAGTGCCTGTGTTTGTGCCCAGATCAGCCTGACTGCAAAGCCCATGCTCTAACCACTGTGCCCTAGGCTCCGAGGAGGGGCCCCTGCAGAGCAGAGACAGTGCTGTCACATGCCCTTCAAGCTTTAGGGTCAACAGTATCACCTTTGTCCCGGGCCTGCCCACGCTGAACGGTCACCATCTGACGGAAACAGGGGTTTGCACCTCAGCCTTAAGGAAGAAGAACTCTCTACCAGACAAAGGAGCCCAACCGTGAGATAGGCTGCCTGGGGAGGTGGTGGGCACGCCCTGTTGTCCCCAGGTAGGCACCTGGAGGAGCTGTTTGGAGGACAAGCGTCATTCTTCAAAATATGTGTGTGTGTGTGTGTGGTGTGTGTGCATAGGTGGGCAGGAGGCATTGGAATTAGATATTCCAAAAGGTCAGCAGTTCAAATCCACCAGCCACTCGTTGGAAACCCTATGGGGCAGTTCTACTCTGTCCTATAGGGTCACTATGAGTCGGAATCAATTTGACGGCAACGAGTTTGCCTTTGGTTAAGAAGTCCCCATGAGGTGCCCTGGTAGTGCAATAGTTAAGGCTGCTAACTGAAAGGTCGGTGGTTGGAACCCACCAGCGGCTCTGAGGGAGAAAGACCTGGCGATTTGCTCCTGTGAACATTACAGCCTAGGAAACCCTGTGGGGGCCGTTCTACTCTGTCATATAGGGTAATAATGAGTCAGATTGACTCCGCGGGACACAGCAACAACACTACCACCACCAAGATGTGCACCCCCGCCGCCACCATCTGTCAGTTTGTCATACTGTGATGTGTGTTGCTGTGATGCTGGAAGCTGTGCCACTGGGATGTCATATACCGAGAGAGTCACCCATGGTGGGCAGGTTTCAGTGGAGCTTCCAGATTAAGACAGACTAGGAAGAAAGGCCTGGCAATCTACCAAAAATCAACCAATGAAAACCTTATAGATCACAACAGAATATTGTCTGATATAGTGCTGGAAGAGAAGCCCCCTCAGTCTAAAGGCACTACACAACAGGGCCAACAATGGACTCAAACATACCAACGATCATGATGGTGCAGGACAAGGCAACACTTCATTCTGTTGTACATGCGGTCACCATGAGTTGGGACCAACTCAGGACAACTAACAACAGAGGTGTCCCCAGACCCTGAAATTGAGGGGTTCAGGTGGGCTAGTCAAAGCTCAGTGGGTGGGGCTTGTTCTAGAAGATGAGCTCACAGAGCTGGGGAGTTCCAGAAGCCCCTAGACAGTCTGGAGCTTGCTCTCCCCCCACCATTTTTCTACCCCTAGCCACTCAGCGCCAGCAGGAGCGTGGGGGGAGGGGGGCCCTGTGCTGAAGCAGGGTTTGGGGCCACTGCGGCTGCTGCTCTCTCACCACTGTCTCAGCTCTGGCAGGGGGGACGACTGGTCAGTGAGCCCTCTTCTCCCTCCTCTAGGACCCCGGGCTGATCTGGCCAGAGAGGGGCATGGAGGAAGCAAGGTGGTGGTCAGGGGTGGGGGATCCTGGCCTGGGAGAGTGACGAGTTGACAGAGGGAGGACCAGGCTGGGAAGTCTCTGGGCTCTGAGTTGCCAGACATGACTCCTTTTACCCCTGGAGCTACTGTGAAATGCTCAGGATGAGATTACTTCTGAGTCACTCTCAAAAATCAAAACCAGTCACTACGCAGCAGTCAGCGAGGTTTCCTCATCTATAAATTGGGGGTATTAATCCCACCCCCTTGAACTGTCGAGAAGGTTAGATGAGATGAAGTTAGGAAACATCAGGAAAAGGCCTGGCACCGTGCCTGACATATTTTAAGAACTCGGTGATGTTGATTGTCTTCCTTCTTTCATTCCCCATACATTGATGGGAAGTGCTCATGCTCTTGCAGCCATGGCTTCAGCGTACTTCAGTTGAAGAAACATCTGCTGAGCATCCTCTCCATACCAGCAACTCTGCTGACTCGCTGGCCACTGCCCTTTTTTTTTTTTTTTTTGTACTATTTAAATTTTTAATGTGCTTTTGGTGAAAGTTTACAGAACAGATTAGTTTCCCATTGGATAGTTTGTACAGGAAGCGTTCCGTGACATTGGTTGCATTCCCCGCGATACGTCAGCATTCTCCTCATTTCCACCCTGGGTTCTCCACTTCCTTTCATCTGGTTTTTCTACCCCTTCCTGCCTTCTCATCTTTGCTTTTGGGCAAATGTTGTCCTTTTGATCTCATATAATTGATTGTTCTAAGGAACACATTCCCCTCGATTGTTATTGTTTATTTTATGGGCTTGTCTATTGTTTGGCTATTCTTTGTCTATTGTTTCCGGGAATGGCTTCAGTTCTAGGTCAGAAGGATGTCTTAGGGCCATAGTCTCAGGGGCTCCTCCAGTCTCTGTCAGACCAGTAAGTCTGGTCCTTTTTGGGAACTTGATTTTTTGTTCTGCATTTTTCCCCTGCTCTGTCTGGCACCCTCTGTTGTGACCACTGTTCTTTGGAAGTTCACCTTGTGGGAAAGACTAACATATGTTACAATCAAGTGTGATGGAGGCAGGGTAGAAATACAGGGTGCTATGGGAGTGCTGGGGGGCGCTGGCCTGCCAGGAGAATCTCACTGGGGAATTCCCCGCTGTGGTGACCTTTCAAGTATGAGGAAGAGTTAACCACATAAAGGAAGAGAGGCTGATGTTCAAGACATCATGTCATCATGAGCGAACAATGTAGCATTGTTGGAACAAAGTGTGAGGGAGAGGTCATCAAGGCTGTGTCATGGAGGGCTTTGTTGACCATGCTGAGGAGCTGTGATGATGGAGAGCCATTGAAAGGTGTCACTTAGCCAGGCCTTTTTTTTTGTTTAAACAATTCCTTCTGGTGGATGTGTGTAGAATAGTTTGGAAGAAGGGTCAAGACTGGATACAAGAAGACCACCAGGCAAGCCATGATGGTGGTCTGAACTAAGAGAAAGGCAGTGCTCGTGGAGGGAAGGTAAAATCGTCAGAATTTTGGGATCGATTGGTTGGGGATGAGTGAGGGATGGAGTGATGGAGAAGAAGTAGCAAAGAATAACATCCAGTTTTCTAGTTTGGATACCTGGGTGAACTATAATGTCTTAGACCAATAAAAGGAAGACATAAGGAAGAGCAGGCTTGGGCAGGAAGATTTGTTATATTTCAGATGGGCTTGGTTTGAGATGCCTGTGGGATACTCAAGTGGAGACGTGCAAGAGACAGTTGT